GATAAGTAGTATTTCGAGCCAAAACGAGCCGAACACGAACGAACACATCTTAGTTCATGTTCGGTTCGTTAACTTATCAGACGAAATTAACGTGACGAACACGAGCTTCTTAACAAGCTGAACACGTGCTGTTCGCGAACAACGGACCATTTTGACAGCCCTAATTAATACACTTATATAGTTAATTGTCCGAAATCAACACAAAAAAAATCTACTATTTCACAATACTATATCTGCATCCTGTGAATTTAGTTCGAAAATCATTGATGGGTCCAAAATCAATTTGAATTTTAGCTTGGATTAAGATTAGATTGAAATAAACTAGCCCAGCCAAATTCTTTTTGAGCTGATTTCGAGCAATTACATGGGTCGGCTCGAACTTACTCAAAACTGGCTGATAATATATATATTTTTTATTTATAAAATTTATATACATAATGCTAAGTAAAATTGAATATAATGAACCACAAGCCAATTTCAAGCCGTTTATGACCTCAAAAGGATTCAAATCTGTCAATTTGAGCTATTTAGTTTCAATTTTGAGCCTGAATGAGCTAAATCCGAGCTGAAAGAGATCCAAACAACTTAATTTGAGCCAACTCATTCCGAGCCAGACCGAGCTTAATTAAATTTCGAGTTGGATCGGCTCGAAACCGAATATAATGACCCACGAACCGATTTTGAGTCGCACTACAACTATTCAAGCCGGTTTCGAAAGACCTCTAAATCGTCAACCCCAAACATGAGGGAAAATATTCATTTATGAAACTCAATTAATTCAATTAATAAAGATCTTAAAATTGCCATAAAAACATTGAAGCATTTAATTCCAATTCCAATTTTGTTCATTTTTTTTGTATTTTTTATAAAACATTCGAATTTCAAACCAATATAAATCGCCAAAAAAAGCAGAAAATCAGCTCTTAATATTTAACAAATAAAACACTTCCATGGAGATTTATGAAAAAAACAGTATAGTAATTAACTCCTCCCCAAGCCTTCAATTATTACTTGCCCATTCTTCTTCTCTCGCATTTCAGCTTTCTTTTTTCTCCCACAGCCCATCCATGGAGCTCACAGGTTCTAAAAATGGAATTTTTAATGAAGACGAAGAAGATAATAAGAAGGCGAAGATCCCCCCCCCACCTAAAGTTCCGGCAATCCAATTCCGTTCATTTTCCTTACAAGACTTGAAATTTTCCTCCGCAGATCTTGGAAGAATTTGAACGCAGTAAATTCAATAAACATTCCCACTAAATAATTTATTTCATACATTTTCTTATCCTGCTTTCTGTCTTATAAATTCACCCCCAGAAAACATTGATTTCAGCAAAAAAATTCAGTCTTCTCCAATCAGCCGCCATGGCGCCACAGCTAATCACCTCCCTCCTCCTCCTCCTCCTCCTTCCACTCTTCTTCTTCCCCCCTTCTTCTGCAAACCAAACCTACAACATCGTCGACTACGGCGGCCACGCCGGACGGCAGCCATGACTATGCTTTCCACCTCGCCAACGCCTGGACTCTGGCCTGCCACTACTCCACCACCCCTGCCACCATCCTCATCCCCTCCGGCATCTTCCTAGTAAGCCAGGCCTTACTAAACGGCCCTTGCAGAAACAACCATATCCACATTCACATAAAGGGAACCATCGTCGCTCCTTCCTCCTACACCTCGAACGAGCAATGGATAATGTTCAAGAACGTCAATGGCCTCACCATCTCCGGCGGACTATTCGACGGCAGAGGACAAGCTCTATGGTCCTGCAAAACCAACAGCAACAATCACAATAGCTGCCCCAATGGCTCCACTTCCCTCACCTTCGCTTACTGCAACAATGTCCGGCTAAACAGATTACGCTCTGTAAACAGCGAGCAGTTTCATATCTCTATATATCGCAGCAGTAATGTAAAGGTGAGGTACATCACTGTCTCCGCCCCCTTCAACAGCCCCAACACTGACGGAATCCACATTGAAGGGTCCACAAATGTTGCAGTTTTAGGTTGCAGAATCGCTACAGGTGATGATTGCATATCAATGGGACCTGGAGATACCAATATATGGATTGAGAACATTAGGTGTGGTCCCGGCCATGGAATCAGCATTGGGAGCTTGGGGTATAAAAATGGACAGGATGGAGTTCAGAATGTGACTGTGAAGAACATTCACTTCACCGGAACTCAGAATGGTTTCAGAATCAAAACATGGGCGAAGCCCAACAATGGCTTCGCTCAACAGATCCTGTTCCATAATGCTTCCATGAATAATGTGAAGAACCCCATCATCATCGACCAGTACTACTGCCCTGATCATTATAACTGCCCCACTGAAGTAAATTGTCATCAAAATCTGATTTTTATTAGTTTTTTTTTAAGTAATTCGTGCTAATTATTGTTTTGTTTTGGTTGATGAAAATTGAACAGTCGTCCGGGGTGCAGATTAGTGATGTGACATTCAGAGATGTGTGGGGCTCGTCGGCGACGGAGACGGCGGTGACGCTGGAGTGTAGTGAGAGCCGGCCGTGTAAAGGGATTGTGTTGCAGAACATCAAGCTTGGCTATAATGGAGACGGTGAGGTTAAGATGTTGTGTAGTAATGTGCATGGAAGGAGTTCTGGTCTGGTTATTCCACCCTGCTGCATCAGTGAATGAGGGGTTATAGATTTGGAGAAGAAGAATTAGCTGCTTAATTACGAGTTTGTTGATTGATTAATTAATAGTTTGATTATGTATTGTTAATCACCTCTTGTCTGACGAATTAATTAAGGAAGATTAGAGGTTGTATTAACTTTTTGGCCTGTTTCGGTTATTAAAAGGGTCTGTGATTTGTCTTGTTTTTCATACAATAAAATTAGTTATGATAATATTAAGAGAGAAAAGTGTCGAAATCGTTCATATATGTGTTGGTTTATATATATATATATATAGAAAAATCATTATATTAAATTATATATGAAGTTACTCATCATCATCAATGTATTTAAAATTCGTATTCATCCCTCTATAATGATGAAAACTTACATAGAGAACATAATTCTCAAAAAAAAAAAAAAAAAAAAAAAAAAAAAAAAATTAATACAACAAAAAAAAAAACAAAGCCTTAAA